AGGGCGCGGGACAGCGGGCGCCTCGGGAAGAGACTGGCGTTGACTGCGAGGCTGGGCTGGGCGAGGCTTTCAGAGGCTGCGGGACCTGGGGGGAGGGGGAGGGACTGGGGCGGAGGGCGGCGGGCGGGGACCCGGGCACCTGCCACTGGAGCTTCCAGCTCAGGCTGTCAGACTTTTCTGGCCCGTGGTTCCCGTGGGAGGTGTGGAGGGACTGTGAAGAGGAATCTCCCGGTAATGAATTCCGTGTCAGGGATCCCGCACCCCCTCTGCACCTTCTTCGTCTGCAGCCTCCGCTGCTCAACACAAACAATGCAGGACAAGGTTCTCCCCAGCTGCCATCTGAACCCCAACCCCTGCCCAGCCCCCACTCAGCAGTGACTGAAGCGCAGCCCTGCACACCCATCCTGCACACCAACTAGCATCCAGTCTCCTATTCCCAATACCAGCTAGGGTACAGTCTGCATCCTCAACGCCAACTAGGGTACACCCCTATCCCCAACATCAGCTAGGGTACACTCCCAATCCCAGCACCAACTAGAGTACATCCTCAACATTAACTAGGGTACACCCGCATCCCCAACATTACATAGAGTACACCTCCTTCCCCATCACTAAGGATGGTACACCCCCCACCCCCAACGAGGGTACACTCTACCCCCAACATCAACTAGGGTACACTCCCAATCCTAACACAAAATAGAGTACACTCCTCATCCTCAATATTAACTAGGATACACCACATTCCCCCAAATCAACTAGAGTACACACCTCATCCACGTCACCAACTAGGGCACATTCCCATCCCCCCATCCCCAACATCAACTAGGGTATGCCCCTATCTCCATCAACAACGAGCATACACCCCCATCTCCAGCACCCCTTTGGATAAATCTCCCATCCCCAACACCAACTAGGGTACACTCCCTATCCTAGCACTAACTAGGGTATAAACCCATTCCAAAACCATTGGGCTCACCCCCTTATGCCTAGCTAGCATCACCCCAACCAGGACACAGTTCTTCATCTCAAAGCTGACTAGGGCTTCATCTCCCATTCCAGCACCAAGCAGGGTTTAACCCTCATCCCTGACTAGCATGAAGCGTCCTATCCACAACACCAAGCGGGACTCAAACACCAGCTAGGGTGCACTAGCCCATCAAATAGGGCTCAGTCCCATACACCCCACATAAGGACTCAAGTCCCATCCCTAGGTCCTCTGAAGTGGACACAACTCCTATCCCGAAACTATCCAGGGCTCCACACCATTCCCAGAATCAAGTGGGCTCAACCACCAACCCTTGCTTTAGCACCATCTTGTATATAACAACCCTCCACCCCAACTGGGGCTCAGTCATTATCCTCAGTTCCAACCTGGGCTCAGCCACATCAAACCCAGTACCAATCAGAACTCAAAGCCCCCTCCCCAGTATCAGCTCAACAGGAGCACAGCTCCAGTATCAACTGGGGTTCATTCCTCACCCCTAGTACCACTCAGGGGGGTCATTCAGCCTGAACCTGCCCAGGCTCCAACCGCACAGTGACAGCCCCAGCAGGACAGCCTCGATTGACAGAAGTTGACGTCCTAGAGTGCCACCTTCTGACCTATGTCTGGTGAGGGCTAGCTCAGGCCAGCCTGAGTGGCATCCTAGTTCAGTATGGTTTATTCTTTTGTAGGGAGGGTAGGTTGGCATGTGATTCTTTAGGAGAATTTTAGGGGCACAGATAAGATAAGCCCCTCTCCTGCAGCCTTGAACAGGCATGCCCAAGAGGAGGGTGGGGAAGAGGAAGAAGCCAGGCAGCCAGCATTTCCTCATGGAGTGTCCCTTAAAGTCTTCCATGGGATGTTGAAAGAGGGCTCCTGAAATGCAAGGGCCCTTCTCCCCATCTTTATCCCAGAATCAGGCACCTGTTGTTATTATTGGAGCCTTTTAATCCATTCCAATTCATAGCGACCCTACGTACAACACCAGGTCCTGCACCCACTGGCCCACCATCCTCTCAGTCACTGCTGGGCTTGAGCCCACTCCAGTTCATCTCATAGAGGGCCTTCCTCTTTCTCACTAACCCTTCACTTTACCAAGCACGTCCTCCTCCACGAATGACCCCTCCTGATAACATGTGAGAAGTATGTGAGATGAAGGGGCTTTTTAAAGAAGTATTCTTACCTTTTCCAAGACAGATTTTTTAGGTAGTCCATATTCACCCTCTAGGTTGGACTCATTGTCCTCATTTTACAGATAAAAAGAGATTGAGGCTCAGAGAAACTAAATTACACACTCTGGAGTCCCTGTTCTGGCTTTTATTGATAATGTAACACTGTCTTTCTGAGTCTCGGCTTTCCCATGTGCAAAATGGAGCTAAGAATGGTACCTCCTCTTAGATTATGAGGCCTAATCATGCTGGATAGTAGAAGGTCAGTGAAGAAGAAAAAGACTCAAGATGGATTGACACAGTGGCTGTAACAGTGGGCTCAGACACAGAAAAGATTGTGTGGATGGGGCCATATCAGGTAGGCATTTGTTCAACAATAGCAATTGTCATATTTCTACAGCACTGAGCAGCAGGTCTCAGTAAGTTCTTGAACCTCGCTGCAGTGAAGATGGTAATAATCTCGAGTCTTTCTTTCCCTCTGCACTATGAGGGCCAAAACTAAACCTATCCCATGGTCATTGATTCAGTCCCAGCTCATCGTGACCCTACAGGACAGGGAAGAACTATATATGGTTTTCCAAGGCTGTCAATCTGTACAGAAGCTAACCACAGCTGTGTCCTGTTCATCACTGTACTTGTAGTGCCCAGCCGTGTGGCAGCACATCAATTCAGAAAACTGCCTCACAGCTGACCTTCCAGGGGGCTTTTAAGAGTATTCTTTGCCTACAGCCAGGAGAAGATAAAACAGATGAATGGGACCTTCTAAGAGTCAAATCCCTATGCACATTCAAAAATTTCTCCAACAGGGTAAAAAGGGAAGCCACAGACTGGGAAAAAGCATTTGGTAATGACATATCAGATAAGGGACTTATATCCAGAATTTGTAAAATACTTGAGCACCACAACAAGATAAAGGTAAATAATCCAATAGAAAAATGGTCACAGGATATGAACAGACACTTCACCGAAGAAGACATTCAGATGCCTAACAAGCACAAGAAGAAATGTTCAAAATCCCTAGCTCTAAGAGAGATGCAAATCAAAACAACTATGAGATATCATCTCACCCCCGTCAGAATAGCAAAATTTAACAGAACAGCAAGCAACAAATGCTGGTGAGGTTGTGGAGAAACTGGAACCCTTATTCACTGTTAGTGGAAGTGTAAAATGGTGCAACCACTGTGGAAGGTGGTATGGCACTTTCTCAAAAAGTTGCAAATAGAGATACCATTTGACCCAGCAATTCCACTACTGGGAATATACCCCAAAGAGACCATAACTGACATCCAATCAGATATATGCATGTTTATTGCGGCTTTGTTCACAATAGCAAGGAGTTGGAAACAACCTAAGTGCCCATCAACAAATGAATGGATAGAGAAGCTGTGGTCTAGTCACACAATGGAATATTACGCTGTATTGAAAAACAAGGAACTCATGCAATATTATTCAAAATGGGTGACCCTGGAGGACATTATGCTAAGTGAAGTATCTCAGTCACAAAAGGACAAATACTGCATAATGTCACTGTTGTAAAACAGGACTGACATTGGGGTTGGGGGGAGACTGAGAAAGATGGGATAAATAATGTATACTGCATTGAAACAGATGAGTGAGAAAACTGTTTAAAACGGATATGTGATTAGGTATTTTTGTCATGACAGGAGTCCGGAGCGAAGGCTGCATAGTGGAGTGGACCTGGGGGAGGGATTGTAAAACAGTGAATTTTTCTTTTACTTTTCCAAGAGGGTAGTGTACAAGGGGGGAGGGTTGGGAGGGGAGAAAAGTGCAACAATGAATGAATGGAAATCCAAAGTCTCTGTAAATTTTCATTGAAATTAATAATAAATTCAAAAAAGGGGGGGGAAGAGTGCTCTTTGGAATTGGTTAAATTCAGCCACCATGATGATGTTGACGAAGAATATTGAGTATCTCATTGACTGCCAGAAGAATGAACAAAATCTGTCTTGGAAGAAGCACAGCCAGATGCTCCTTCGAGTGGAGGATGGTGAGACTTCGTCCTACATGGTCTGGGCATGTTATCCGGAGAGGCCAGCCCCGGAGAAGGGCATCCTGCTTGGGGAAGGAGAGTGTCCGTGAATAAGAGGTAGACCCTCATGAAGTGGCCTGACATAGCGGCTTGAGCAGAGCAGAAACTGAAGGTGACCTAGAGCCATGCAGATTTCGTTCTGTACATGGCCACTGTGAGTCCGAGGCCACTCCACGCCCCTAACGAGTTAAGACATCAGTCTTTGTCTAATGGTTTTGGGCACTGGGGTAAGAATAAATGGAGGTCCACACAGTTAATTTCTAAATATTTAAATGTAAATCATGTCAAAACTTGTGAAATAAAATGTGTTCCAACTTCTCCCCTGACCAACAGTAACCTAGAAGTCCAGCTCAAGTGTAGGATTTTTGAAAGAACTGACCCCACTCCTATTCTGTCCAGTCCCTGAAACAT